TGTGTCTGTGTCTGTGTCTGTGTCTGTGTCTGTGTCTGTGTCTGTGTCTGTGTCTGTGTCTGTGTCTGTGTCTGTGTCTGTGTCTGTGTCTGTGTCTGTGTCTGTGTCTGTGTCTGTGTCTGTGTCTGTGTCTGTGTCTGTGTCTGTGTCTGTGTCTGTGTCTGTGTCTGTGTCTGTGTCTGTGTCTGTGTCTGTGTCTGTGTCTGTGTCTGTGAGTGAGTGAGTGAGTGTTCAGATGAGTGTGTGAGGGCTGGAGATCGCAGATGTTCTCAGTCGATCCAAACACAGAATCACATGCGGTCAACCGTTGCGTTTCATCACAAACAGACAAGCATCACTTCATTCTCTGTCACTTTCTAGTTTTTGCTACATATATAGCAAAAAACTTGATATATTTGATATATTTTATACTTATTTATTTATCCAAAATTATTGCCAAAAACGATTTTGTATTTGTTTAAAATAATATATTAGTGCTGTTAAACGATTAATCGCATCCAAAATTTAAAAAAAATTGTGTACAGGTGTGTACTGTGTATATTTATTATGTATATATAAATACACACACATGCATGTATATATTTAAGAAAAATATGCTAAGTTTATATATTAAATATATTTATATATAATATACATTATATGAATATAAATATATACATTTAAATACATTTAAATATTTTCCAAATATATACTGTAGGGCTGCCCTCGACTAAAGATTTTTCTGGTCAACCAGTCGTTCATGTTAAGCGGTTAGTCGACTAATCACACGTTTATATTAATAAACCATAAATCATAGTAATGAGCGTTTAATTGCCTATGTAGTGCACGAATAAGGTTTGCCACACAGTGCACCGGCAGAAGTAATGATTATGAATGCATCAGGATAAAAAACAAGGAGACTGCCTTTTAGTATTTTAACATTTTAATAATTAGTTGATAAACCAGTGTTTGCTGTATTTTCGGCTGCAGTGATGAATTGACGATCTCTTCAGTGGATGCGCCTATATTAATGTTTCATACAGATCACATAACCTTAGAATAGTTGTTTTCCATCTTAATTGTTTCGTTTAAAAGCAGACATTTCTCTTTCTATAGATAGGCCTATATTTCTTATGCCTGAAGCAAGTATACACAGAGTTTCGTTTTATTATTTGATAAATATAGTTCAATGATAGTTCAAAGACGGCAGAACGCGCACATGTTTGCTTTCATTATTTTACAAAATCACAAAGTTTTTTTTTTGTTGTTGTTGTGACTGCACACAAATAAAAGAAGAGTCTTCAAAGCTTACAAAGATGTATAACTCCTATTTGTATGACCAAAAAATTGTAAGTTTTAAATTGTAAGTGCAAGTGAGCGCTTCCTCATTCCGCACAAACACTGAAATAGTGCACATTTTTATAGGTTAACGTTAGAGCGAGCGGCCATGTGAAGTTGCTACTAGTACTATTTACATGTTTCAGATGAATGATAGGCGAGCGTTTGGATGCCCTGGCCAATGTACTGTATATTACCACATGTCTTTATATATATATATATATATATATATATATATACAGTATACACACATATATTATATAAACAAAAACCTTTATTTTGGATGTGATTAATTGCAATTAATCGTTGCCCAGTTTAGCAAATGGCTGCAATATTGTTAAGAGTGAAAATTTTAAGGGGGTCTGAATACTTTCCGTACCCACTGTATATATATATATATACTTACGGATAATTCATTTCTCTTTGAGTAGGGGTTTAATTTAATTCGTAACAATAGGGAGCGTCTGATGGAGCGTCTAATGGATAATAATCTATAAAATCCATTTTGAGGGGATAGAAAGAGGCATGTCAGTTTCTAGACTGTGTAATATTCACATTGCCACACAGTATTTCTGATTCCTGATGTATTTTTTGTATGTTTTTGTATCGATTTGCAGTCTGGTTTCATGCAGATTTCACAGCCACTGATCCAGTTGTGTTGATTCCCATCACCAGTGATTTGCTGTGATTGTGTTTTGCTCTTCTGTCCCAAAAATACACCTGATGCCCCACCTGCTCAAATCACATCACAGAAAAGAATGAAAAACCCACCGAAATCCTCCCAAAAATGATCAGAGAGAAAATATTTTTACAATATGCTTTGTTTGAATCGTTCAGTCTCAAGCAGTGAGTCATGAATTGCATCCGCTTCTTAAATAAGCTGTAAAGTATGAAGCAACATTTCTCGCTGACATTTAGAGTCGATCTCAAGCGCTTTCTGGCATTTGAAGATGACGTCTGCTCTCTGCTGTGTTTCATTTTCAGGATGAGAAGAACCAGGTTCTGACAACCAACATCTGGCTTCAGCTGGTGAGACACACAGCATATGATCATCATCTTAAAAACTCTGCTCTCAGCCATTTTTGATTTATTCACACAGTGAAAACTGTAGTTGGTCATGTTATATATCAGATTATACTCTGACTTTCACAAGATTACAATTGGTTAGATTTTTAATGTTCTGCTCACTAAAGCTGCATTTATTTGATCAAAAATACAGTAAAATCAGCAATATTATTATCATTATTATCATTATTATTATTATAAATTTTTCTTAAATATTTCATTTTGTTATTAGAATGATATATTGGCAATATTTTTATTTCATATATAGAAAAATTCTTTATAGAAATATACAACTGAATAAAGCACTTATTTTGCTGCAGATTATTAATTTACATTAAAATGAATGTAGAAAAACCTTTTGATTGTGTCTGAAAATATATATATATATAGAGAGAGAGAGAGAGAGAGAGAGGTCTCTTCTGCTCATCTATATTATTTTTCTTAATTTGTTACATTTGACGTACTATAATAATTATTATTTTTTTTAATAATAATAATTATTTTTTATTATTGTATTATATTTTTCTTACATGTAATTTTCTATTTAACATTGAAACAATAATTGTAATATTATTTTTTATAATATTAATGTTAATATTATTATATTAACATTAATATTATTCTCTTATGCCCACCAAGGCTGCATTTATTTGAAATACTGTAAAAACAGCAATATTTTAAACAGAATGGCTTGCGAAAATATATTTTTTAATTTTAAAATATATTCTATTTAAAACAAAATACTAGATATGTACATCAAGGGGCAAGAAAATACATTTACAAATTTGGATAAATGCAAAATGTATTTATATATAAAGTGTAAATATATTTATAATGTCCTATATATGTATGTATGAATATATCTACAGTATGTGTATATATATATATATATAAAATATCAAATGTTCTCGAAATATTAGAATATTTACATTTGAGTTTCATTAAATGACCATCCCTACAGTATAAATTCCAGGTATCTCTTGTTCTTTGAAACCACAATAATGGGGAAGACTGCTGACTTGGCAATGGTCCTGAAGATGATCATTGACGCCGCAAAGAGAGTAAGTCAGAGAAGCTCATTACTGAAAGAGTGGCTGTTCACAGAGTGCTGTATCAAAGCATATTAAATGCAAAGTTGACTGAAAGGAAGAAATTGGGTAGGAAAAGGTGCACAAGCAACAGGGATGGCCGCAAGCTTGAGAATACTGTCCAGCAAACACTTGGGAGAGCTTCACAAGCAGTGGACTGAAGCTGGAGTCAGTGCATCAAGAGTCACCATGCTCAGACGTCTTCAGGAAAACTTCTGAAACAGAAACAGCTTCAGAAGCATCTCACCTGGGCTAAGGAGAAAAAGAACTGGACTGTTGCTCAGTGCTCCAAAGTCCTCTTTTCAGATAAAAGTAAATGTTGCATTTCATTTGGAAATCAAGGTCTGGAGGAAGACTGGAGAGGCACAGAATCCAAGCTGCTTGAAGTCCAGTGGGAAGTTTCTGAAGTCAGAGATGATTTGGGGTGTGTGACGTCTGCTGGTGCTGCTCCATTGTGTTTTATCAAGTCCAAAGTCAATGCAGCCGTCTACCAAGAGATTTTGGAGCACTTTATGCTTCCGTCTGCTGACAAGCTTTATGGAGATGCTGATTTCCTTTTCCAGCAGGACTTAGCACCTGCCCACAGAGCCAAAGCCACTTCCAATGATATTAATGTGCTTGACTGGCCAGCCAACATGCCTGACCTGAAGCCCATATGGAGTCTATAGGATGTTTTCAAGAGAAAGATGAGAAGCTGATCCGAGCTGAAGCTCAATAGTTTTTCAGCAGAGCCACAGGCTGATCGCTTCATTCACTCCTCACTGATGCTAGAGTTTGTGCTGAAGGAGCCCCGGCCAAGTATTGAGTGCAGAAATCAACATACTTTAAAGAACT